GTGAAACTGACGACATTAATTTTCATTCTCTGAACTGAGAGATGCAAATTATGGAAAACAGCATAAAGAAAGAAAGGTAAATTGGGTTTTTAATGTTTCTTTATTTCTACTAATTGAAGGTAGTGGTTGTAAAACAGACACATAAATTGGTTAAAATATCTTAAAATTGGTGTGTCTGGCCAGAAGTGGTTTAAATTTTAGTTTTAACTATTTGATGCGCTTTGGGAGCAAACAAACAAAAAAAGCTTTTCAAAGCCACACAATGGGTCAATTTCTGAGCTGCACCTTTCAGGAAGTGCATCTCTGAATGATGTGGAGTGTTGCTACTGGTGGCTTTGCCATCTGTCCTGCCTCAGTTTAAGTAAGAGCACTTCTGCCTCATCTCCTACAACTCCAGAATGCCACTGCTGTTTTCTCTGGGGCCAAGTAACTGTGGAGCCTGCTGTAAAATGGCAACACAAAAACCTCATGACTACCAAGTCTATAAGGAAAGTATTAAACAGAGGAAAATTGCAAAAGCTAACAAAAGGAAAGTAAAATGTTTAATGTTCCTAGTTTCTCTCAAGTTATATGAAAAGGCAGTTATTTGCCACTTCACAAATATGAGAGATCTTTATAGTTCTTTTCTTCAAATGTAGTTAGTGTAATATGTTATCCAAAATACAGAGTATGCAGTATGTTATGGAAACACTGCCAGTGATTCCATTACTGAGCTGGGTTTTGTAATTAAAGCAGGGACTTACCCACTTTATGTATGAGGAATACTCCATATCCTCCCCAAAATTACAACATTTACTCTTGAATACAGAATGAATTGAAAATTTAACTAAATTGACTTAATTACTTTGTTACAACTAATTAAGAAGTCTTTTTTCCCCAAAAAATGATCTTAATACTGGAATAACAGATACTTCCAACTACCCTTATAGTTAAAACTCACTGAAATCTTCTGTATAAGCTACATTTCATGACTTTTTGTAGGATTAATGGTAACTTTTTTCCCCATTAAACTGGGAATAAGAATACAGTAACTCCTCACTTAGTCATATCAGTTAATGTTGTTTCGTTGTTACATTGCTGATCAATTAAAGAACATGCTCGTTTAAAGTTGTGCAGTGTTCCCTTATAACGTCTTTTGGCAGCCGCCTGCTTTGTCCACTGCTTGCAGGAAGAGTAGCCTGGTGGGGGCAGCTGGTGGAGACTTGGAACTAGGGTGGACTGGCAGCCCCCCATCAGCTCCCTGTTCCCCTAAGTTCCATGTGCGGCAGCTGCCCAGCAGGCTATCAATTGCCAGCAGTTCAGCTGTCCCTCCCCCACTCGCCATGTGCTACTCCTCGCCCTCT